ATCGCGGTTAGCGTTTGCCTAAGATACTTCGCTGATGATCACACGAAAATGCCTTTCATGCAGTTGCGGTTTAACAGAGGAAAGACACTTTTACGCAAGAAAATAAACAGCGATATACATCATCTGAAGTACTGAGATTACCAAAATAAAGGAAAAATGCTTTCAATGACCTCACTCAGGGTCAGTGAATATCGCCCAACTTACACGCGCCCGCTGTTGGTCCAGTTGGGGTTAGTGATGATATTAAAAAATGTACATCAGTAACGTCGTCCAAGGTTAGTGAACAACCCCCAACCTATACGTGTCCGCCGTTGGTCTATAAGGGTTTAGTGATGATATCACAAATATGTACCTCAATGACTTCGCTCGAGGTCATCAAAACTCCCCAAAGTTACATACGCATATCTTAGCTTAAGGAATAAGAAGGAATATTCGGATTACTTCAGTTTAGCCCTCAAGTAGACCGGCCACAACACAACGTGTTGCTCACAGCAGCGAGTAACCGGAAATTTATGAGTGTAATATTAAACAATACATATAACTCTTTCATACATATGTGCAGTAATATTTTTGCTGGATGTGATTCTTAATAATAGGCGCTTAATATTAAAAAAAAAGACTTCAGAACGTCTAAAATTACAGGGTTTTGGGAAAAAGGGAATTTTCGGAATAAAACTCCACACATCAGGTTTGCCAAGGTCAATTCGAGGTCGACGCGATGTCGATTTGTTTTTCGCACTCTTTTTCTGTTTATGCGCCCAGCACCGTCGCTATATAGCTGCCGCATTAAAGTATTTCAACAAAATTTAACGACTTTTTGTACTTCTTTTTACAAAGGCCCTTTATCGTCCATCCCTTTTTCCTACCCATAAAACCCCCAATCCCACCAGTCCCCCAAGACAGAAGACTCGGGTTTTAAAAATCCAGGTGGGGCTACACAAGCTACTTTTGCCTAATAATTTTATTCGCATAACGTTTTGATATCAGTTTTTTTATCCGCTCACATAGACAATAACATAAACATGCAGTTCGTAGGCGGTAATTGCAGTGCCTGCGCGCCGTGCATTGTATTCCCCCCGTGTAATTATCACCGGTTTCTGATATTGTCTATGATTACTGATACGCGGCGGATTTCAAAACGGTGGGAGTTAAAAACATCTTCTCCGAGCGATTTCATTGGCTTCTCATAATATAGTGTGGTCTCCTACTATGCCCAAATCACGCATTTTGCAAAACTGCCTAAACATCTATAAATTAGGTGTAGCGAGGGTACTTTGGCTCATTTTCAAAGAAGCATATAAAAGCTAACAATATATTATAATTTGAAACAGTCTCGACTATAAACAATATGTTGACATGTTTATTTAGGCATGCTCGTGGTTTTTGTCACTGGAGGCGTAACCTGCACTTTACGGACAAACTGGAGTAACAAAACGATAGATTGTGAGTAGAATCTCTGTAGCATATCCAAAGGCAAGTATGCCATCCGGTGCCAGATTTTTAACAGTGATCTCGTCGTCTCAACTCAGGACAGACGCTATCGGTATCAGAAACACATCGGCACATGTAGGCGAAGTTACTTTGCGAACCCTTTGATCTGTCGGTGCACACCACGCATGCTCTTTGTACGAAATACACTATAGATGGCATAATACTCTTACCTGATTGTAAGTAAAAGTTTTGAATAAATGATGAAAGTGATAAGATTTTTAAAGAGCCGCATGCATTAGGGTGGCCTTCTAAAAACAAGCCGAGTTCGCACTGGATTGGTTACCAATTTGATTGAATTTGAACTGAGAGTCAGATACCATCATTAAATATTCAAATAGTCTTTCAAATAAAACGAATTTTCTATCTTTGTAAACTGAATATTAGGAATTTTCTCTACGTAATTGGCAGGCGGTGACTATTTTTAATTAAAGTCACAGACAAACGTCTCGCTTTGCACTGTAACTGCGTAAAATTAGAGAAGTCTTCATCAAGTCTAGAATTTGGCCGCTCCTAAAAATGATACATTTGTACTCCTTCTACCCTCATTTACCTGCTTCGTGACGATATGGGCAGGCAAGCCGCTGGAAAAAGTTTAGCACTAGTTGATCTGTTAAACAGCCACATTGAATTGAATTTAAGCAATTGGCAATATTCAGTACTCAAAAGGTACGCAGCTAAGCAGGTAATGCATTAATGTATAGCCGTTAACGCGCACATGAGGTGGACTTATTGCGCATAGGTTTTCCTGGCATTGTCCTAACAACCAGTTGCCGCATTCGAAATTACGGTTTGAGTGGTGTTGGTTGTTGGCGGTATATTGGAATACGTGGCGGGTGCGGATGCTGTTCAAAGTTCAGCAAAAATGGCCGTTTAAACAGATAAAGATAACCTCAAATAGGGGTTTTTAAGAGTTTGCATTTTTTCTCTATGGCAGTCT